GGAGTGATGAGGTCGGAGCCTAAATATGCTATACTGCTGTAATAACCATTTCAAACGGGAGTTGGCTGACTGAACTAATGTGATAATAAATGTGAAATATGTTATTGATTATTACTGTTATATTTATGTCATTGAAAGCGGCATGAGATGCATTATAATATTCAGCAGGACTCCTGGAAAATATGACACAATTATAATATAATTTCCATCCCTTACCACTTATAATATAAAATATTTCTACAGTAACTTGTTATATTTCTGTGTAATTAGTATTGTATACGGCTATTACACAAAAAACATTGTGACATGTCACAGTAGGAAAAGCACAGGTGTAAATAATAAAATCAATGATGGCTGAATTCCATTCAGTTGTTCAGTTTCAGGGTCCTGATATTGTGCGTGTTTGCTGACAACTGTGCTTTTCCTATTATGGCAAGTAAAAAATATGTCTGCTGTGAAAAATGTCTGCTGTGAAAAACCTAACCTTGTTACTCCATACCTGTATGTTTGTTTAAAATATTACTTGTATAATAGTAACCTAATTTCCGTTGTGGCTATTCAACAGTGAGTGTATGATATTTTTGTAATATAATATTAGTGACATGTATCCTGTTAGTTTAACAGTGAGGGAAGAAATTAGTTTGGCAGTTCTCTGTCACAGGTGGTAATGCTTAAGTCAAAGCTGAACAGTGTATATAGACTATTCTTAACACCACACCGAGTTTTACAGTGAGGACCAGTGCAAATGGAAGATTTCATCATTGCCAGAAGGAACACACACTGCTGTACATTTGGCGCCCAGTTACACCATCTTACCCCGTTCACTTGTTCTTCTTCAGCACAATTATGTTGCCACAATGTGGCGGCTGAGTCTTCCTGGAGCAGTTGGAAAGACGCTCAAAAGGGTTCCTTTGAAGTAACTGCTTATGAGAATATTTAGTTTTTCTTTCTGTCACATTTTTTATCTGGTCCAGACTTTCAAATTGGCCAGTTTTCCGCCATAAGCCTGCCTCTGTCCCCCTTATGTCTACACATTCAGACCATATATAAAAACATCAGTTATTTACATATAAAGACCTATATGTTTTCTGACACTAAATTCTGTGTCAAGATTTCTCTTGCTCACTTTCCCTTTCACCCCCACAATCCCAGGCACAAACAAACCACTGTCTCCATCCAGCTGACCATTCATAGCAACGGTTGCCCAGGGCAACACCAATAGGAACAGATGCTGTTTGGCTGCTCTGCCGTATGACCCCACTGACATTTGAACCCATTGTTTTTTCAGAAGAGGGGGTTTCACTCTGTTTCTTCTAAATTTTTAAGTTCAGCACTCTGATATATTTTGTCTCTGCAGCTCTGATGTTTTCTGTTTTTATTTCTCAGATATAAAGACCTTGTGATCCCAACTCTGGGAGACAAGAAGAAATTGTCACCAGAGGAGAAATGTCGCTCAGTTCTGCAACAGTCCAAACTCCAAGGATGGCAGGTGTGTTTGTGTGTGTTTTTGTCTTGCCTCTTTTTCTGTCTCCATCAATAACAAAAGATTTGCCAAATGTCTTAATCCCTGACCCTCTATTTGAAAGATCCCATGGAATCTTTGACAACTCGTTCCAGCTGTCCCACCTCATCATCATTCTCCTCACACACACACACACACATACACACACATAGCAGCAGCAGCATGGACCACTCCACCCCCCTCTCTGTCCTGTCTGCCAGGCTGTTGTGTCTGAGTGTGTGACCCTACAGGTCACATTAGCTCCTGCCTCGCACACGCATACACACTCCTCCACAATGCCCAGCAGACACCTTTTCATACAGCCCAGTTTTGCGCACACACACTCACCACTCCTACAAGTAGTAGGAGTGTGTTGGAATGAATAGTGTCTGTCAGTGGAAGTACGTCACCCCACAGTTCTGTGCACCTGGTATAGAGTGACCTCTGTCACGCCCCCCCAAAAGCCCTCTAAGCCAAGGAAGTGAATGCAGTGTCAACGTGCAAACCCCATTCCCTGCCCACACTCCACACCCACCTATTATCATACATCATTGCCACATCACTGCTCTCCCATCTTTCAAATAGAAAGTCACACTTTTCTGACATTTCCAGCTGAAGGCAGCCTCACTGGGTCACCTTCTACTCCCAGAAGCTAAGGATGATGGCAGTTTTACTCTACGTACAACAATGCTTTTGCATGTATGTTTGATCAGATTGTCATTGTGTGTGTAGATGGGCAGCAGTAAAGTGTTTCTGAGATACTGGCAGGCAGACCAGCTCAACGACCGCTGCTACCAGCTTCATAAAAAGATCATCACCTGTCAGAAAGGTAATGTAAAACCCATGTTGTTCTTTTAGGGTTCGTCTGTCTGTCTTTCACTGACACCTCTGATGTCTCTTCCTCTCTCCCTCTTCCTCATGTCTCAGTGGTGCGTGGCTGGCTGGTCAGACAGCGCGTTCATCGCAGGCTGTCGTTACAGCAGAAAGAGGAGTGCAACGTGCAGCGTTTCCTGCAGGGGGCAGAAGACATGGGGCTGCGAACCTACGACCAGTTGGTCATCCAAAATGCGTCCGACATTGCAAGAGAGAGCGACCGCCTGCGCTGCCATGGCAACAGCCTTCTCAACACCCTTGGCAACAGCCCGCCACTTGGTGAGAGGCCTGAGCCAGTGGGCAAGGAGGAGGATCAGCCTGTCAGGAGGTAAATTAGCACCTGGAAAATAAACAATCTGCTGTTACTGTCATTCACAGGATTTATGACTATATGAAGGAATCATTTGCATTTATAAATGTGTATGTGTGTTTCTACATGTGTGTTCTTGTCTGCGTGACCTGTTTTGTGATTAATTATGTCATTGTATCCCTTTGTGCTGTAGGCTTTTAATTGTACATTTCATGATGGATAGTAAGATAATGAGCTGTGTTATCAGATTGAATTAGTATTGTGTTGCACCTATGGAATGCTATCCTTATCTCCACCTCACTTCATTCTAATGTAACATATCATGTCTGGAGAAAATTGAATAACCTTTGAGCGAAAAGATAAAAAAGTAATAATAAAAAAAAAACCTTGTTTACAGGATACCTGAAATGACAATAGCAATTCAGCACTAATAAACCTGTAAATGTGTTTTTATTATTGTCATTATTACATAATACTGACTTTCATTTCAGCTGTAATAAGGCTTTCTGACAAATTTACAAAATATACGTGTACACTTAAATTTTTAGGATTTGTCTTACAGACACATACAAGTGTTTTGTTTCAAAACATCATTTTACATAAACGTAAAGCTTTGAAGCACCTAAAAAAGTCAATACAGTGGAAAATTATGCTATAGCCACAATTGTAACACAAAAATGTAAGAAGTCATCACACTTCAATGTATTATAATATTTAAATTAAATTAAATCAATACATGTTGAAATATGAAAAGAAACATGTGTCCAATGTGCATGTAACATCTTGCTGCTAGGACTGGAGACAGGAGCAACCACACGAATACACTCACATGCACACGTTTGCCCAAAGTCACCTAATTTCTTCTTTTTTTTTAAATGCCCTCCCCCATCGCCTACACATGCTAGACCACCCCCCTGCCTGCAGTTGTGGAACCAACAGATGGCTCACGCAGATTAGCAAAGGAAATATTAAACTGGATGTTATCAAATTACTGCAAGGAGATTAGATTTAAAGCATAATCTTTTTGGTCTTTATCCTCCAATTGGCCTCCTTAGCTCATATTTGTGGTATGACAGTTGAAGCAGGCATACACTGATTTTGAGTTTACTGATGATCTGAATGATATAATTAAGTCAATCTGGGTCAGAAAATTATTGGATGGGAAAAAGTAGTTGTAGCTAAAGCTGTTGTGCTTCTGTGAAAAGCATGAATGAAGTGAGGGAGACCATATAAATGGTGAATCTATTTCTTTCTTTCTTCCATTTCTATATGAATTCTGTGATTCTTCCCATTTTTAGGGTTCTGGAGAAAAGTGGGAAAGCCTATGAGGGCCCTGTCAACGGTGGCAATCGAGTTATTCGCCACTTTCGGTCCAGCTCAGTACCCATCCCACTTGCCATGGAGAACATGGTCCTTTCTTCTGCCAGTCAATCCATCAAACCAGCCCTGCAGCCGGTAGCTCATACCAACGAGGATGGGGCAGGCGGGGTTGGTCTTTCCAGTCCTCGGAAGCAACCTCCTCCCAAACCAAAGAGGGACCCCAACACTCGTCTGAGTGCATCTTATGAAGCAGTTAGTGCAGGGCTGATGATGGCGGCCAAAGAGAGCCCCACTCCAGAGGGGTATGGCTCGCCAGCTGGAAGCCCTCCTAAATCCCAGCTGTCGCCCACAGACCCTGCAGGTATATCACCTCTACTGGTCTTTAGTAGATAAAACAGATGGTGTTTTTTTTTGTGCCTCAGTGCTGTTGCCTTGACTCTGTCTGGATTTAATTGCTTCTTTTATCATTTCTTCAGCCTTGTCCAAGCCCCGTCCCCACAGTGATGACTACACAACCATGAGGAAGGTGCCACCCCCCAAACCTAAGCGCAGTCCCAACACTAAGCTGACAGGCTCATATGAGGAGATCAATGCCGTCGCACCCCACATCCACCAGCTGCGCCCTGCTGATGTGAAGCTGGCGTTGCTGTCCCGTGCTGGGGGATTTGGTGGGTTTGGTGGGTTTGGTGGTTTGATGCAGAAAGCAGCTTCTATAGATGCGCCACACGGGGTAGGACTGAGTCTGTACCAGGGCCAAGACGAGGAGGACGTGTACATAGAGATGTTGGGTTCCCAGCCACGTGCTCGGAGCCTCCAGGAGCCCCCTGATAGCCCGGAGCTGGCTGACTCAGAAGCCGTCTATGAGGAGATGAAGTATTTCCCTCATGAAGATGGTGGAACTTCTGCTGCTGTAGTTACCAAGGCAGCCAAACTGGAGGCTCTAGGCTTGGGCCTAGTGGGTTTAGGGACATCTCCTCCTCAGAGCGGGGACACCAAACGGATGGCAGCAGGGGTGACCGCTGTCATGGACATTACTCACTCACAGAACACGTTCAACAGCGGAACTCCCAAAACTCCGCATGGCAAAGATGGCAGCTGTGACATCCCTGCTCCCTTCCCTAACTTGCTTCCCCACCGTCCACCTCTCCTGGTGTTTCCCCCCTCCCCTGTTACCTGCTCTCCTGCGTCAGATGAGTCACCCCTCACTCCACTAGAGGTAAAGAAGCTGCCTGTGTTTGAGACAAACCTGAACTATGCTACTGGCCCAGATAGCCCCCTGTCCCCACAGTATGCCCGCCAGCGGGCTGACTCCTCCCCTAGCCTCACTGTTCTCATGCCAGAGAAGAAGTCCACACCTCCACTCACCCCTCCACCTCCACCTCCTCCCCCTAATGCCCTACCTCCCCCCTACAGACCTCCTTCACACTTTCCCTTCCCACCTGAGGCAAACTTCTTGACTCTGACGCGAGCAGCATCTGTCACAGGGAGCTCGGACTCCCCCAAAACCTCATCCTCTCAAAGAGCAAGTGGGGAACCACTGGGGAAGCCACCTCCCTACTCCCCAGTGAAGGTGTCTCGTCCTGAGCCACGGAGAGCCCACTCGTGCTCCTCCTCTCCCCTGCTGTTCAACCCAGCCAATGGCAGACCCCTGACTAGCCCCCTGGATGAGCTCAACACCCTGTTCAGCTCTGGACGCAGCCTGTTGAGGAAGTCCACATCTGGCCGCAAGATGAGAGACGGAGGTCTGTCAGTAATCCTCACACACACATGCACACCCACATTCAAACACACCAGCAGAGAAAAGCTCACAGCACATATATAGTTTGGAACATTTTTCCACCCAATCCTTGTTTTTAAATGCGTAAACATGTCAACAACACGTCACTTATAGGTTTCAGAGTGTGAAGCTCAGAGTGTGCGGGCTCTGGCCGTCGCCATCCTCACAGACCTGACTCCACCAGTGCACAAATGGTAAAAGACATGTAGCATGGGTCTAGTTTGGATGAAACCAGCCACGTGTGGCCACTCTCTTAATTATGAGTGTATGTGGGTTTATGTGGGAGGTGAGATGCACCAGAAGCCAACAGCCTTTCTCAGAAATTCCCCTTGTCTACATTAAAACCTCCTTTCATTCAGGTGTTGTAGCCAGCCACCCTCTTTGGCCCACTTGAGGCAGCCCATTTGTTACAGTCTCCAGTGCAGTGCCCTTTGGCTACTGCAGCTGCCTTCTAACAAGTTACCTAATGAGGTAGCTGGGGCAGCCCACTTAGCATCGCACTGCACTCTAAGTATGATTTAGCTGTGATGATGTGCATTGTAGCACAGTGCACTACATACAGAGCACATACAGGCTCTCTGACACTGATGCAAAGGTTGACCTTTGCAAAACAAGGCCAAATGTATTTGTCACACATGGTGAATGAAAAGGGAGTGTCCTCAGGTCAGAGGTTTTACACCCATAGATTACTTTGTGGTGCTTTTATGAAAGTGAATTTGCCATCTATGCTGCAGCTTGAAAAAGTGCAAGCATATGAGGGAAGGTAGAAGCTGTGTTGTTCCACTGTGTTTTTATCTCTCGTTCCTCCAAGTGTATTAGTTGTGGCTGGGTTAATAATGCATGAGCAGTAGAATGATGAGGATGGGAATCAAATATTTAACAACTCACTCATGTTCTACTGAAGGCAGTGTGACTGCCCAGCAGCAGTAAACAGGACATTCAGAACAGTTAGAAAAATTACCGCCAAGTGAAAGTATTAGCTGTTGGTGTCAAAAATCAGTCATCTTGCTAGAGGCTCATATTATTGTGGAGCTGCTTGGTTTGTTTCTATAATTGAACGCAAGTTCAAGTGGCAGGAAGCTGAACTCCTTATAAGAGACGGTATGAGAGCAAGTGCACAGGCTGACGCATATGCCTCACGTGACGTCTTGCGCTCGACTCTTCGTCAGCAGCTGGACCTGCGCAGGAAAAGCGCTAGCGTCATGGAAACAGTGTGTGTGAGACAGGAGAACCTGGCACTGAGGTTCACAACCTTGCTGTTATTTTGAGTAGGCAAAGCAATGCGCTCTGCTTAGATCAGAGTGCAGAGGGATGCCGATGGGCTTAACAGGATGGCCTACTTCCGCTCCCTCTTGGCTGTTAAATGACAGAGTGTGATACCTGACGCTGTGGGAGTGGCCAGGGGTTACAGCTGCTATCCCAGACATCTCTGTGAAGAGCAGCTGCCTCTCTTCCTCTTCCTCCACTTCTTCATCCTCAGGGAATGAGGAAACCACAGGAATGCCAGGGGAAGAGGGCAGGTGGTCTTGACAGGCTTCAGGAAATCACTGGCATGAGGTGTCATAAGACACCTCATGCCTTAAAACTCAAATTTCCTAAAATTGGATAAAAGTCCAATTGTCCCTCATTATAGTCTTCATTGTGCAAATCCAAATACTCACTGTGACTAATTTCTTCACAAGCATGCAACCCTCACATGGACTCCCTTCCTCTACCTGGCCTTTTGTCTCTCAGACACATATACTACCCCATGGGACCTATAGTAGAGTCTGCTAAATTTATATTTAGCATATCTTGTGACCATGGCGGAGACCACAAGGCACACATTCTCAGTGTGGGACAGCAGCTGACAAATTCCCATTCACACTCCTATGCACATATGTACCCACATTCGCTTACTCATTTGGGTTGCGAGAGCATGCAGGCCCCGAGGAGCAGCAGCGTCATGTGGAGTCACCTTCCTAGCAGACAGAGCAGATAAAAGCTAGGAGAAAATATACCGGAAATGATCGCATTATTTTTTGAATTTTTGAAAAAATGTAACTGTACTGTTGTACTCCACAAATGCTTTGATTATACTACGCATCTAAATAGTCATCTCACGTCAACTGTGTTTTCCTTTGGCTATGTTCTTCCCAGGATTCAATTCTAATATCAATCTGCCAGGGAGGGAAGAATGTGGCTCTGCCCCCACTTCACCTTCTCTACAGCTTCAGGACAAGAACGCCAACAACCACTCTCCTCACTCCCCAAGCCCTGCCCCCGTAGAGAACGGCAATCAGATCTCCAACGGTAACATTTACATTGATTAAACATTATTCCCCTCTCTCTCTACCCCCCTTACCTGTCGATCTTCATCTGTCTCTATCCAGAAAAGGCCAAAAAAAATAACTTAAAAAAAAAGAAGAAATGCACACATGAACAGTAGAATAAATGAAATAAATGTCTAAAGATGAGCATCATTTTGGTGTGTATGTGTACATCTAGATGAGTAAAGTGTAGAACTAAATGATGGATATCAGGCTACTTATACTTTACAGTTTGCATAAAGACTAGACTACTCATGTAATGAGGCTAACAAAGTGGCTAACGCCACTGACTCAACCTGTGAAGTAATCTGGTAGGCCAGACTTAGCTGTTAAATGTCCTTTTACCCTTCTGCACATGTCACAAGTCACATAATCACTTACAATCATCTTGGAGATGGCCGAAATTAAAGCACTGCACAGGCACTGAAGAAGGAAAAGATTACATAGACATAATGAAGTGACCTGAGGAATAAGGAAATGAGACCCCAGATATCATAAAAGAGGACCCTCATTTCTCAGCTGCAGACAGAGAGTGATTACAATATTCCTTAAATGCTCAGAGAGATTGACAGCCACAGTATCTTTCTTCATGGCAAAAGCAGATTCAACCCCTCTACCAAATGCTTGCATTTGAAGGTGAGGTGTCCTTCAGTCTGCACCTGTCTGTGTGTGGGTGGACTTTCACTCAGTTGTTTTACCCTTTGTAATGTGCTTTTGATATTGTGTGTTCAGGGTCGCTGGAGGATGAGAGTCACAGCAAGTCAAACTCCTCCAGCTCCACTTCTCTGCACAGACATATGGACAGCCATCATACTCAGGTAAACACATAAAGATACATTTTGGGAGTTATTATGAGATGTTTCATACTGATGTCAACAGGTGCCATTTCTTTTTGATGTAATCTTACTTTATAAAGTAGGGTTTCAGAACCTTATGTAGCACTCGCACCTTCACTGACTGATCTATCAACTAGTTTAAAACCTGTGACTGGCACCAATATACACATGCTTACACATATACACCCACACTAACAAACACACAATGACAACAGAACTTTATCAGGCCTGTGTTTTGTTTGGGTTTGTTGACATTTTGAGTGGACAGGAAAGTGGCCTCCTTTGAGCAACATGTATCCCTCATGACATGTGAGCTTTGTCTTGCTCTGTAGACAGGTGTATGGTTACAGGATTGAATTTAATGCACACAAGCTCACATACATGCTCTCATGCTGGAGCACAAACACAGCCTCTGATATATGCAATTGATAAAACTGATGACAAAGAGGAAACCATCTGTGAGTGAAAGAACCTTCTGAAAACTGAGACATGCTGCAAACTGATAAACACATGTATTTTAGAAAGCCTTAATAATTCAAAGACATAAAGATATACAGTAGATCACCTTACCTTTGTATTTTTGCTGGAGCAACCCGCGTCACTAAAGCATTTCACAAATTCACTTGTGAATGCCTTTCAGTGTCTGCATTTATTGGCAATTCATTCAAAATTAATTTGGATGTTTTTGACATTGTTTTCTCACCTACGCATAAAAACTAGTTTTGTGTCTTTGTTAGTCACAGATATCTGTTATCAGAAAACTATACGAGTATGAAATTTGACCAGCGTTCATTACCAGATAACTTCTGTGTCACTGCATTGTGTATTCCAGGATGCAGCTGTTCCATTCTGGTGCAGTTTCACCACATGGAAACTGATTCAGATTCATCACAGGCTGCAGTAGTCAGTGATGGAGTGTCACTGTCAGTGGTGCATGAAGCAGAAGAGCAAAGCACGTAGTGTCCCATTTTCAGAGACGCTAAGGACACACCATTCATAAGAAACTGCCTCTAGAGATGTGACGGTACACTATGTACCCACTTCACAATCCTCAGGTTGACTAAATGTTTAGGGTGAATTCACCTTATCCATTTTTTTTAAAGCTTATGTATGTGTGTGTGTGTGGTGTTGTGTGTGTGTGATAAAATACTGATGTGGCAGCACACCCTGTTTAAGGCCGCCTTCTTACCGCCTTTAAAAAAAGTCTGAATCACATTCCTGATGCTGTTCTCTTCCACAAATGACCCCCTTTTACTCTCTCCCTTCATTCTAATGGCTGTTACTCTCACTCCCTCCTTTATCTTCCAGAGGGGTCATCTCAACTTTTCTCCGTTCGGTGCGGGGGCCGCCCTCTAAAACAGCGAGGGGGGGCAGGGGGGCTTACTGGAAACCCTGTTCACATGTAGGGATGTGGTGAGTGTATGTCATTCCTCACTGCTCTCCACCCTTAATAGCAGTGTTTTTCATAGACCCAGTGTGGGGACAGTAATGATCCTCATTTTGTAAAAAAAAAAAAAAAAAAAAAAAAAAAAAAGCCTCAGAAGTTTTGTCTATATTTAAAGTAATACTCCACCCAAAGTCTATTTTTGAAGTATGAATGACTCCTGTAGACCTGAAAAGACTAAAGAATTTTTAGTTTGCTCCTTTTTGGAGAATGGAGGCTCATCTTGAATCCATTGCAGTTACAATGGATTCCAATAATAAGTCTATGTGGATGAAAAATTACAATGTTTTGATCAAAATTCAAAGATTCAAATCTTCTGAAAATCTTGAAAACCACTGCTTTTGCAGGACATCATCATTTAGCTTTCCTTGCTCCCATTGTTTACTGTGCTCTTTGTCCTTTAAACACTGGTTTGGATTCAGATTAGCTATCTGCCCTTTCTCCTGTCGGGGGGCAAAAAGTCTGATCCTAGAATTGGTGATGATGCTGCTGCTTTTATCCTCTTTTTTTTTTCCATCCGTCTTTTCTGAAAGGAAACTGCAGCTCTTGAGTTCAGCTAGACTCTCTACATCTGTACACCTGCACAATCTTTCCTTCTCATTTGAGACTATCAGCATTGTTTCTTGTTTAGCGAGATAATGGGATGCTAAATTCAGAAGATTTGTAGTCAGTTTAGTTTAGTTCAAAATTATACCAGATGTATCTGGTATGGATGATTCATCTGCTGTTCAAGTATTTATGTATTTTAACTCTGGACTCGTATAACAATAACAATAACTATTCCATTTTTATTTCTGTAACTTTCTGGCAGTACTAAAGGGAGCAAATTTCTCCCATTTAATTTATTTATATTTTCACTTGAGGCAGCAGTGTGGTTGTCAGCATCTTACAGGAACAGTTTCAAGGTTGCATGTGACGTAGGAAAAATTCAAGAAATAAGAGTTTTGAAAATGTTATGCCAAGATTTTGGACAATCCATTTATTGGATATGGATAGAAATGTCAGTACTGTGCATCCCTAAACACAAGATTAGATGATCAATGTTAAGTAAATGCATCTTACAGTGGACAGTAAGCTTCCTTGTTCCCTTTGATGCTGTCCTTGGATTAGCATATGCAAATGATAATGCAAATGAGCCGGCATGCCAACACTGATAGACTTGATACTTGAACTTTGAGTATGTTTTTTAATTTAAGAAGAGCTGCAGTTTTTATTGTTGCTTGTTCATCTGCTGGGATTTTATGTTGCTGAATCCATCACATAACCCCCTTTTTTTTAAACCTTTCTAAAAATATTTTCCGAATTCTTTGTTGTCTAACTAAAAGGTGTATAACCTTAGAAGTCACTCCACATGTTCATCCTCATATGATGACGACTAATTACTAATCTCTCTGCCAGAACTGGTCAGTGAAGGTGTGGCTGCTCACTGTTACCACTGAAACGTGGAAAAAGAAACACTTTCATCTTAGTTTCTTATTTTACTAATCGAGTGAGTTGTCTGGAACAGGTTCATTACCATGAGTTCATTCAAGAGATGGGAACAACTCTGCGACCCAGAATGCCTTTCAATTAGCTGCATTCCAGACTGTGTTTATGTAGGATTAGCAGATCTAATGGGATAAATGAAAGAGAAAGGATGAAGGAAGAAGAAGGGGACGGATAACTCAGTTAGGAATGAATGGACTGGCTTGTTTGGTTCCTGTAGTTAGTAGTCAACAGCAGTCTAGACTAATTATATAAAGAATAGACAGACAGACTGTTTTGCCAGCTAAATGATTGGATGGTACAGAGATTAATATTCTTTGTTTTTCCCTTCTGACAAGGTCTAGGCAGATGTAATGACATTTAACGCAGGACTGACTGTGCCACATGTTTGCTATTCAGAATAACAACACTTTATTAGTGGCACCAATACATTGTAATGCATTTATATTCTGTGCTAAGGGTGTGTAGGTGATGTACACACCAGCACTGAATGGGATCAGTCAGAAGACATAGGGTTTTGCCCATCCGACATTTATCTGTCTGTGTGTACGTGTGGGCGTGCACACAGTAGCATGAATAGATAGGTGTGTTTGTGTGTGTTTTATGAGGACAAGCTCAGAGGTTATTATCCCACTTTGTGGCCTTAGGACATCTAGTCTGTGAGAGTTTGGAATGACCACTAGTTATCCTACATTACCATATTATTACCATAACATTACCCATTCATTAACATATTGGTTTGGATATTGACTCCCTCCCCCATGCCCTTTTGTGAGGGAATACGAATAAGCAGAGATTCAACAAAAAAACAGCCCTGTGTTGGGTGGGGGCCTGTTGTTTCAGGTACCAGTGAGACAAAAAATACTGAGAAACAGATTATTGCATTCTTATCAAACAACAAAACACTACAAATAATCTACCAGGAATGTGTCCTTGTGCGTATTTAATTGGCCAACTCGGCACCTTGCAGAATGACATCGCATTGCATTCCTTAAAAAGTTTATCTCGGCCTTGCATTGTTTTTGCCAGAGCCCTCTGCATTGGAATCCACCCTCTCAACACATGAATGAATGAGGGGGCATCGTTTTTTCATGCAGTTCTCTCTCCCCTGTCCTTTTTTAACATGAAAATTGTACACAGTGTGAGGGCCACATAGAAATGGCTAAATGACTGAGAGCAAATCCCTGCAGCCAGGTTCCAAAATCCTGCAGAAAAAGTACAAGTTGTTAGAGCAGCATATTATTGCTTGTGGTTTTGGAATGAAATGTTTTAGGGATGAGGTAAATACAGAAATGCCATTTTACCACGATGCTGTGCTGACACTTTGAAGATAAGTATTAAAATTATTTAGGGAGGGGTTCAAGGCCAAAAGCTATGAATCTCTCAAAATGATCTTCCCTAAAAATAATTTGGATTGTCGGAATTGTATGTGATGTTAATTGCTGTGTGTGTGTGTGTGTGTGTGTGTGTGTGTGTATAGCCATGCATTGCAGAAGGACACGGTGTTCCTACTTGTCTACTGTTCCAGTAGCTGGTGTTCCTGGCTGGCGCCAGTGCAGAGAATAGCCTGGCAAGGAGGTGTAAATTATGGATTAGGTCGTCGAGTATTGTACTAGGCAAACAGTCTATATGTGTGTATGTTTGCATGTACATATGGACACTCACAGGTTTATGGTTCTCCAGATATGTGCATATGATCCTGGCCATGTACTGTATG